CTCCGGAGGTCGCATTCGAAGGCTGCATACGTCATCGTGTCTCATTTCAGAAAAGCAAGTAGGACACTCCGAATAACCGACCGGAAGCTAAGAACCGGAACAAACGGAAGCCGAGCTGGATCTTAAATCAGCTTTGAGAAATGGCGGCCGCTGAAGACACTAACACTACACAAAACCCCAGCGGTTCAGAGGCTCCGAAACTGTCGGATTTACTGGACCGGAGCTGGAAGCTGTATGAAGAGGTGGACACCACAAACGAGCCGAGCAGCTCCAATGCAGTGCAGGTGAAAGTGAAGCGCGGTATCATGCAGCTGGAGGAGGCGACGATGATGGTCAATCAGCTCGACCTGTTCAGGTTTGAGGAACACACACACACACACACACACACACAGAGACTCAGACTAAACACAACACAACAACTGCACACGAGGCGACATATTAAACTGCTCCTGTTATAATCAACATAGCTGTCAAAGGACTGCGCGCGAGCGACGCGCTGATAATGATGAGAACTTCATATTTTGTCTAGTCATCTGTTGCCAATTAAAACAGTAAATGTTTAAGATGTGTATATTACACTTTTACACTACAGAAATGTAGAGTAAAGGCCTTTTTATCTATAAAAGTGTATTGTTACCAAGTTCTTACAGTTATTTAGAGTATGACTCCGCTGTGTAGGCCTACACTGCTTTACACTGAACTGACTAAAGACGTCATGGTGATGTCATATCTTCACTGATTTGGTTACCCACTAATGAACATTACAGGACTACATCAGTTTTCTTTCAGCAACTATAATGTATTTTGTGTGTATTTTCCCTTGTGCTATTAAATTAACAAACTGACAATTAAACTAACATTAATATTATACAAACTGTTCAGGTGACTAAACACAACACAACACAACAACTGCACACGAGGCGACATATTAAACTGCTCCTGTTATAATCAACATAGCTGTCAAAGGACTGCGCGCGAGCGACGCGCTGATAATGATGAGAACTTCATATTTTGTCTAGTCATCTGTTGCCAATTAAAACAGTAAATGTTTAAGATGTGTATATTACACTTTTACACTACAGAAATGTAGAGTAAAGGCCTTTTTATCTATAAAAGTGTATTGTTACCAAGTTCTTACAGTTATTTAGAGTATGACTCCGCTGTGTAGGCCTACACTGCTTTACACTGAACTGACTAAAGACGTCATGGTGATGTCATATCTTCACTGATTTGGTTACCCACTAATGAACATTACAGGACTACATCAGTTTTCTTTCAGCAACTATAATGTATTTTGTGTGTATTTTCCCTTGTGCTATTAAATTAACAAACTGACAATTAAACTAACATTAATATTATACAAACTGTTCAGGTATGTATTTGAACATGAGAAGCAAATTTTGCAACAAAAAAAAAATCCAGTGGGTCACAAGACCATTACAAAACAACAGCTAAATAAAACTTACTGGAGTCCTTTTTAATTTCCTTATTTTTTCTGTAGTCGTAATGAGACATTGGAGGAAATCTCCACAGCCGACCTGAAGTACCTGTTGTTGCCGGCTCTTCTGGGAGCGCTCACCATGAAACAGGTGAACCCCACCAAGCGGCTGGAGCATGTGCAGGCGGCCCGTGTCTACTTCATGGACTTCCTCCAGAGATGCAAGAACTATGACGTATGTAGTTTTCAGCTGCCCAAAACCAGTGAGAACACAGCAGATACTCCTACTGAGGAGCAGACGAATCCATCAGTCCCCATGCCAATGTCACAGCCAGACCTCATTGCCATGGCAACACAAAGACAAGCCAAAATAGAGAGGTGGGTTGGCAATTTCCCCATTCACAAATACAGTCTTTACTGGTAAATTACCGTTAAGAGATCATGTGTGAACAGGACCTTTTCAAACATCCTGGTAAATTTGTTCCGCCAATTTACCGGTATTAGAAGTTGTAACATTACCAGTAAATTACCGGTAATGTGCTTTGTGTGAACGCAGCACAAGATAACCGGTATGAGCATGTACAAGTTCAGAACGTGCTGACGTAAGACGTCTACTCTGGGCCAATCATAACATTCTGACGCAGATGACGCAATAACTACACGCTGTTTACGGAAGTCAAAGAAATGTCTAGTCGTCTAAAACGATGTCTCTGAGCCAAAAGCAGCTGCATGAATGTGAACGTTTGACACAAAAATGAAAACATCAACAAAAACACTATGTATACCCCTCCATGTTTACAAACACAACACCGGGAGGCACAGCCATTTAGAGGTCATTTCCAGTTAATGATGTCACAGAATTTACCGGTATTTTGAAATCGATGTGTGAATGGTGCTTTACCGGTAAAAAGACTGATTGTCCTTTCCTGTGTGAACGGCACATTTTTGTATTTACCGGTAAAGTCGTTCAGGCAATTTACTGGTATTACTGTATGAAAGGGGTTATTGAATATTTTTTAACATGCATGTGTGTATCCATCATCCAGTGTCCAAGGGAACACCAATGACTACTTTATGAAATATATTTTTTAATTATTTTATATTTACACTGGGTAAAATACAGTAAAAACAGTGATATGTTGAGAAATATATTACAATTTCAATTAACAGTTTTCTATTTTAATATATTTTTATATACAATATATTTTATTTTAATATATGCTGATTTGGTGCTCAAGAAACATTTCTGTTTATTAATTATGTTAAAAACAGTTGTGCTTCTTATATTTTTGTGAAAACCATGACACTTTTTTCAGGATTCTGTGATGAATAGAAAGTTCAAAAGAACAGCATTTATTTGAAATTGACATTTTTTGGTAACATTATGAATATAATTTTTGATCAGTTTAATCTGTCCTTGCTGAATAAAAACATTATTTTAAAATCTTACTAACACTAAACGTTTGAACGATAGTGTACTGTATATGTAATATTTGTAAAATGTTTGTGTCTTTTCCATCAGTTGTGATAATGTTTGTGTAACGTTCACGTGTTGCATATTTACTCTGTAAGTTGTTTCCAGGTTTAAGCAGCGTAAGGAGACAGAAGCTAAGCTGAGTGAGATCAGGGGACTGGTTGAATCTGGTTCAGCCGATGAAGAGTTGGTGAGAGATTTTTACCTGCTGCATGTACGCAGGTGGGTCACCCTAGCACTTGAGGAGATCGACTCCATCAACCAGGAGATAGAGATTCTGAAACGGATGGAGCTTTTCAAGCAGGTATTTGATTGCCACATGAATTACATCTGTGTGTTTTTTGTGTGAATGATTTGGTTGCATACCTACCACTCTACCTACATCTACCTCTGATTTGCTGCAAATATATATATATTTCTAAAGATTAGCCGTTAATAATTGTTTGTTTCTGTAGAGCGCGCCCCAGCCATCTCCACCTAGAAGACCGCCTATGAAGCCTTTTATCCTGACCAAGGATGCTGTGCAGGCCAAGTATGCGTGCATTTGAAGCGTGTCTGTGATGTTCAGTGCTGCAGTATTTGTTTATGTGTGATCTTTTATTTTCTGAATGTATTGCAGAGTGTTTGGTGCAGGGTATCCCAGTCTTCCTACCATGACAGTGGATGATTGGTATGAGCAGCACCGGCGGCAAGGATGTTTACCTGACCAGGGCATACCACGCAGTGCAGGTACTTGCATACATGTTGAGTGCTTTTGCAGAACATAAATTATATGTAGAATGTTTATATGTAGAATGTTTCCTCCGCAGCAAATCATGATACAGAGGAAGATGAGAGAGCGGAAAGAGAGAGGAAGGAAGAGAATAATGATGAAGAGGCACTGCAGAAGGCACGTGACTGGGACGACTGGAAGGACACACACCGGAGAGGATATGGCAACCGCAAAAACATGGGCTGATCTGATTTCACTCAAGCACACACATGTATGCGCATCCCTTCAGTTCCCACAAATAAACCTCCCAATGCTGCCAATATGTGACATGGACACAACAGTGAGTGGCGCTGTAGTGGTTAGTTAATTTGGTTACTTTTCTTTCTAAACCGAGTTTGCGTATTTTACATTCTTTTATATGTCTCTATATAAATCTTAAATCTTGGTGAGCTTAAATAAGACCTTAAACCCCTGAGCATTTATGGAGATGGATGTCTGGGCCTTTTTGCATCATTTCACGTCACCCTTTCTTACATGAATAAAAGTTTGTCTTTTCATGGATGTTGTTTTGAGTGCAGCATTTCTACTGAGGTGTTCCCTGTACTGTCAGCGTTTAGAGTCAAAATCAGTTGACTCAGAAGGACATTATCACCCACTTAATTACACCTCATGTGCTGTTTGATTCGAAGCCTATTAAGACTGCATGTTCGATAAGTATTAGCCAATATTTCTAGGCCTCGTTGTCTGTTTCAAATGAGATATTTCAGTGAAGACGGTTCAGCAAGAGCATTTAGAACCAATATTAGCACTTGCGTGGATCTGACACTGTGGTTTAGAATTGCTGAAGAAAGTGTGTGGGACATTGAAACAAACTGTCTAGACTGACTTGTTATTCTGAAATGTATTTATTGTCAGGCAACTTTGCTTTTCTTTTAATAAGGTCAACTTCCAGTTCTACAGTAAACATAAAGCGAAATCACCTATCAAAAGCCTATTCCTTTATATCTGAATGTTACATGCAATGGTCTCTAGTAAAAATGCTTGTTTTGTGATTTAATACAAAACATTTCAAATTTATTATCAGCATAACGATTGGAGAGACATTAAAAAAATGAACATGAATTTATGACTATTTGGTGCGTCCTCTTGTTTTTAATGACAGCAATTGACTTCACAAACATAAAACCTGATGATCCAAAATGACAACTAAAAATCTGATCTTTTTCATGTATTCTTAGACTTTGTGCCCCAATGTATTTTTTCAACTTATTACAGGACATATAAACATAAATTATACTAAACGAAGAGTAAGCACAAATTAGCAACACTTAAGAAAGATTTTTTTAAATCATCAGGCAATAACTAAAGTACTGGAGCAACAAAATATATTTTAACCCATCAAATAATTACAACATGGATCCATTCTAATAATGAGCATGTAAAAATAAAAATAAAAAAAGTTCTAGTATCGTAGATTTAATTGGGGTCGTGGAAATCCATTGCGGAGGTTTCCATGCTCAGAGGAACCATAGAGTGGAGCAGGAGAATAGGGCTGGTTCGGTTTCTGTTGAAGCGATAAAGAGCAAAAGGAAGATTTATTTGAAGAGAAGACCTTTGGTTATCCACAGTAAGCTCATATCCTGAGTCTTATCAGAACACTGCCACTGAATTGCTCATTTGTTGTATGTTGTACCATAATATCCCCAGTGTTCTCTGACTCCATGGAGGAAAGCAAATAAACTCGTAAAGATTTACTAATCTGAAACTGAAACTGAAATGTTTAATATATTTTTGAACCATACCAGGTCATCATATGTGTGTGAAGGGGCATGTGGTGTGTAATCACTGTGGTGGTCTGCAGAAGGGCTGTGGTCTTCATAGGGGTTTCTGCTGGGTGAATCTCTAGCATAAGGGTTGCTAACAATCTGACCCCGAACTGCGCCATTGCTACAATCACACAAATGCACAACACAAAAACCACTGAATTAAACATGACATGGACATGGAATACAAAACATGGAGACTAAGATTTTCAATTTTGATCTTGATATAAATATACATTCAGAACATATATTTAGCCAGAGAATCTGTGATGAAATCATATGAGCTCTTAATCATTTTATGTAGAATTATGAACTACCTGTAAGGCTGCACAGGACCTCCCATAGGGTCACGCATGTCAGTGTACATGCTGTGGAGACAATCAAAGTGACATTTTAAGAGACAGATTCGTCAGATCCAACAAACATTTTAATTATTCAGTCAAATCATCTTTATTTCTAAAGCGCTCTATACAATACAGATTGCTTCAAAGCAGCTCCACAGTATTAAACAGGAAAACAGCAGAATCAATTATGGAAACTCATTATGTAGACAAGTCAAATTCTCTAAAATTACGATAGTGTCAACAATAACACATTTCATAATTGATTAAACAAATTAAGCAGTTCTACAGATGGCAACAATATTGTAATTCAGCCCGAGTCAGTTCAGATTTGAGACAATTCAGTTCAATAACAGACTCTTCAGCCACACGAGCAGTTATACATGCTAATTAATCATATGCTAAATGTACCAGATTATCTGATAGTTAGCGTTTTGTCAATGGAGAGCAATGAAGAATTTAGTTAACACTTAAAACCACATTGAAATGCATGGTTTAATTTATCTACCAATATCATATATACTGCCCACATACCTGTTTGGCTCACGGGGTCGTCCATCAGTCATGCTGTCAACAGATGGATGCACACCACTGGATGGACTGAAGAGTGATGCAGAGAGTTAAATATTTAAAAACTAAAATTACGATAGTGTCAACAATAACACATTTCATAATTTATGAAACAAATTAAGCAGTTCTACAGATGGCAACAATATTGTAATTCAGCCCGAGTCAGTTCAGTTTTGAGACAATTCAGTTCAATAACAGACTCTTCAGCCACACGAGCAGTTATACATGCTAATTAATCATATGCTAAATGTACCAGATTATCTGATAGTTAGCGTTTTGTCAATGGAGAGCAATGAAGAATTTAGTTAACACTTAAAACCACATTGAAATGCATGGTTTAATTTATCTACCAATATCATATATACTGCCCACATACCTGTTTGGCTCACGGGGTCGTCCATCAGTCATGCTGTCAACAGATGGATGCACACCACTGGATGGACTGAAGAGTGATGCAGAGAGTTAAATATTTAAAAAATACATTAGGATATAGCAAATAAATTTTATAAACAAAATTATAATCCAACAACTGCACTGATCTCTAATACAAAGAGATTGGTGGTTCAAACACATTCAGGATAAATTTCACCATAATTATGCTTGTTATAAATATATATATATATATATATATATATATATACAGATAATATTATGACTAGCTGTAGTGATATCTAAATATATTTTAGAGACAGCTAACCACGTTGATTCAAAATATAACTAATCTTATAGGCTATTCAATAATTTAACATTAACTATATACTTATAGGGCCGAGCAGGACCTCCCATTTTAGGATCACGCATCCCACTAGATATGCTGCAGAGACAAAGCAAATAAAAGACATTCAGACATTTAAAAATTTTTTTTTTTAAAGGTTTAAACAGTTTTTTTTTTTAAATCAGCAGCAGTCAAAATTATATTCACATAAATTCATTAACCAACAAAAAAAAAAGAAAAGAAAAAAAACATGACTATGGTAATCTAAAAACCACAAAAATGTATGTGCATAAAGAGAAAATACGGTGACCCGGGAGGGGACTTTTTTGGGGAGGTTTTGTCGTGGCCACGAGATATTAATTCGTGGGAACGTGATAAAATGACAAGATCATTTTGTCGAGGTAACGACATCCCTAAACTGCGTTCACACTAGCGTTTTTAACAACGTACACAAACTGCAGAGAGATCTGGAGATAACGCAAAAACTCCGGACCCGGACAATCAGATATAGGTGATGGACAGGACGCTGCCGTTTTAGCGGCTCAGTGTTCTATTTTTATGCAGACCATTTACATCCAAATGTTAATTAATTTATACAGAACACAACCTAAAAATAGATTTAAGAATATAAACTGCTTGTCGTAAGACTAAATAGAAAGTGTGCGCCTGCCATTGTGCGTTAACTTGAATCAAGCCCACAAATGTCTGTGGATGAGTAATTCACTCCTTGATTTGCTTAATAAAAGCCTCCTTTGAGATCGTTTTGACATGTTTATTGTGCATTATTTTCAACGTGTTTATTGCCAAGTTTAGTGTGGCAAAATAGAAGCGCAGCCGTATGGTTGCTTCCGCTGGTCTATGTAATCAGAGTGTGAATTTGTAGATTTACTATAGCAAAACTAAAATGTGTTTAAAGTGCGACTGACCAAATCGACCAACCAACTCGGACTCTGGTACGGAGTTCAGAAAACAGCGTTCACATCATCCTAACGAACCCGGGTGCACACCAAAAGTGCTAGTGTGAGCCCCAGGTTTTTACAGAGGGGATTTTGGATACCTCTTTTTGGAAATCTCTCACTCCATAAAATTAGGAAATACTGTCAACAGCCAGCCAGAAGAACGTTTATAGGAATAAAATGTTAAATACATTTTTCAAATGATAGTTTCAAATGTTAGTTGAAAAAAAAAAAATATATATATATATTTTTATTTTATTTGTATTTTTATTTTATTTTTTATTTTTTAAATGAGTAGATGAAGTGTAATTTGGATGTTATCATGCCACTAAATAAATAAATAAATATCACCTATATGGGCGGTTGGGCATGGCTGTCATGGGAACATGATCTTGTTGTACAGGTCTCATGTTAGGGGGAGGCCGACCCTTTGAAAGCAAGACAAAAGGCAGAAAAAAAATGAAAGATCACAAGAACATGTGCATTTTAATAGTTAGCAGATCACTCAAGAAGCTAACATCGATACCTGTCAGATCTGTCAGGCTTAAAAATGTCTTATGCTCGGTTTATTGCTGTATTTTTATGACTTCCAAAGGTATTTCCAGATAGATCCATGTTTCTGGTTAAGATTATGGCAGCCCTGTGCTGCTGCTATGAATCATTAACTATTTTACCATCAAGACACACACACATTACGCTGACTCACATTAATATCAGAAGCAAAAGCAATTCCAGGGAACAAGTGCTGTTCTTTAGAGGCTGTCTTGGGTGTCGTCTTTCCTTCACTGCACACAAACACATGCACAGAGACAGAATGAATTACTTGTTAGATGTAACATAATGACTTAAAGGTCCCATATTTTACACCTTTCTGGAGTTTTATTTTAGGTTTTGATGTCCTTAAGAATATATATTTGCAGTATAAAGTACCAAAAACCATCTCAATATATATTTTACAGCTCCTTTCTCAGGAGCTCTGCTGAGAACAGGTCGATTTTGGCCTGTCTAATTAATATTCATGAGCCTCTCTTCTGACTGGCCTGTTGTTTTCTGAGTGACGCACGGCCAGGCCAACCACAGGTAACTAGGGTCAGCCGACGTCACAGCGCTAGCTGGAGGCAGCAAAACAGGGGAAACTGGAGGCGGCCCATTCAAACCAGAGCAGATTCGGCTACATAAGGAGCTTAAAATATCATCTTATTGTGATGTTGGGTGCCAAGTTGCCTGCTGAAATTGAAATGTATATACATCTTCATCATGACTAGATAGACACAATGAGTTTGTCTTTACTCGTTAGATGTGATCCACCTCATAGTAACAATCCTGTCAGATCGTCCATCCTTTGAGTGAGAGTGTAACGTTACAGGTTGGCCGATCTGGTTTCGTGGTTAAAGTTAACCTTTTCGACATGTTTCCGTGTTGTCCTTGCTCAGCAAAAGCATGGACGTGATGTTGTCTGGGGGTTTGGCAAAAGGAGAGTGGGAGGGTGGGCGGTGCTCGGGGTGGTGACTGAAGGCGGTGACTGTGTCGTTCTGACGTCAACTTTTTACGGAAGTCACAACAGTTCGTGTAAAATCACAGCTACTTTATGCAGGCTGTGTGAATTTTACTGTGGACTGACTGTTTTGAAACTTATATGGTAGTTACATAGCACCTAGACCTCAGTTATCATGAAAAAAGCCAGGAAATTTCAGTTTTGACAATATGGGACCTTTAATAAGCATCATGGGCTTTAAGTCATATTTTTTAAAATCACACTCAAAGTCAGGCTATGTAAGACACATAAAGATTCGCCTGATGCTATTCAGAATCAATAAAGTTACATTTAATTACATTAAAACTACTTCTAGATTTGTATTTGTCATTCTCACCCTGTGTGGCTCTTGTTTGATGGTAACATTATCACGTAAACAATCACCCCCACCAGCACAGCGAGTGTAAGACCAGGAAGAGATGCCACCAGGGCAAAGGTCACTACTGTCCATCCCTGAGTGCAGTTTTCATCAATGTAAAACTCACCCTTTTGACTGTTGCACCTACACAGAGAACAGAGGAAAGGAGTGAATCTCAAAACAAGCTTGTGTTTAGACAACTGTGTAGAGTATCACAAAAAATTCATCTATAAGGAGTAGATTACCGACAGAATGGTTGTCCCTCGAAACAGGTACATCTGCTAATTGTCTCATCACAGATCCCCGCATTATCCAAACATCGGTCAAAGTCATTAACATTACCACAGGCAACTGAAGAACACACATACAGAAACTATAGTAAGAGTATTAGTTTACATCTAATGTATCATGATTATTTGTAAAACAGACACTACATAACCATTGCAACATATTTGAACTACTTTTGAACACACACTTACGGTCTGTTGTCTGGCCAGTTGCTTCATCAGTAACAAACAAGATAAAACACACGTACAGTAAGACCTTCATCTTTTAGTTCCCACACACACATGAATTCCACTAATGGCACTTGCATAAAAGGCTATTTGCAGCTGACTGGGGTATTTATGGTGTTATACACACCCAACACAGTAAGAGCTGGAGCATGCGCAAATACTCACCGACAGGTAGTGGATGTGAATGAAACTCTTACTGTTTTCAGCAGATATTTGCCGGTGTGGACGTTATTTTTTTTCCCTTGTGTCAGTTCAATGGATTAACATGAGGCCATGAACTGTTATTAAGTTACAACAATTATAAAATTCTATTTGAAATAGTTATGTTTATCATGTCACTTTGCAGTACATTTATCCTTAATTTTTTTCTTCTTCTGACATTTAGGCTCGCATACTCACAAACATACCACCATTCAAAAAGTAAATACTATTCAGCAAGGGCTCATTAAATAAAAAAAAAAAGAAGAAAAAAGAGAAAGACATTTATAATGTTACAAAAAAAGTTATATTTTAAATAAATGCTGTTCTTTTTAACTTTCTATTAATCAAAGAATCTTGAAAAAAAAATTACGGTTTCCACAAAATGTTAATTAGCACATTAAAAATAATTAGAAATGATTCCTGATCACCAAATCAGCATATTAGAATTACATTTAAAAATATATTAAAGTAGAAAATTTCATGCATTAGTTTTTACTGTATTTTAGATACGGTTTGATAAAGTACTTTTGATCTCTTATGGTGAGCATAAGAGATTTCCTTAAAACAAAGATTACAAAATCTTACAAACCACAAACTTGAACAATAGTGTAAATCAGGTAGTGTCACACCGCAGGACTGATGAACATAGAAGAGGTTCCACACAAACATTAAATCTAATTAATAGTACAAAGTAAAACTGTCCCTCATCCCATCTCAAGAGCCAATTAGATAATGTCAGTATATTTAATATTTCTATTTCTATTTAACATAAATTTATGCATTTCTGTATTGTATATTTCATGACGACAACAGCCACATCACTGGACAGTTTTCACAATTTACTTGAAACTGCTAAAAACGGCCAATGTCACCTGCCAATATGAACTACCAAGGTTTGAGTTTAAAGGGTTTTTAAAATGAATTTTAGAAAAATTGATTATAGTTAAAAAAGGAGCAAGATCAGGACTAGCAGGAGAGTCGAAAAAAAATCACGTTAACTTCAGATTCATAAAAATGTATTTCTCACATTCTTTATCACAAAAGTTTTCTGAGTCCCTCAAACAGGATCAATACATCCAATAAAAATAATATGTAAAACACAACCATAAGAGCAGGACGAAATATACAGTTATGTGCAACACCATGATAACCACCAGGCCATTTACACACAGAACATATGACAGAAGAGGAATAAGCATGTGTTAGTTGTCAGAATCCATGTCACTGTCTCCGCCAACGGATCTGAATTCTTCACTGTCCTCCTCATCATCACTGAGCTGTGCCTGTGTGAGAACACTAGGACCTCTTCTCCTCTCATCCTCCTCCTCCTCTTCTTCCTCTTCACTTATCCCGTACCCCTCCTCTCCATCTCGTTCTCCTGTCCTGGGGCTGGACACATGCCTGTGCATCTGACTGTCTCCATCATCATAGCTGCCGTAGCTATAGCACACAGGAAGTATAAGTGAAAGAGTGTATACAGAGACTTTATGAGAAGACATGGCATTTAATTAAATAAAAGAGCCACATTGCCTTACTGGCAATGGTACTTGGCCGGTCTTTACAACAGTAATTCAAACCAGGGCTGGTTTTAGAAGCATTGGCCTGATTTAGAATTTGTGAGATTTTATTGTTGTTATGACATGCTTTAGAAACATAAATTAATTCATTTTTATCAATTCACGTCAAGGAGAACAGTATGGAGCGTGACTAGAAAATAGCTGACCGAGGGCATTACCAAGATGCCCCAGAAAATAGCACAGGACTACGTATCAGGAAGTAATGTAAATCATGTAAATCATGTAAAATAAAATAATCACAACACTTATCGAAGTACAAGACAAACATTATTAATATTAAATCGTGTAGTGGGTTAACGACTCTAGAATCCTGCAGTTACTGAAGAGCAGTAGCATATCTATAACAGTGATACAAAACCATGACTTTATTTGAAATTACATCAGCTTTACTCAAACAAGAACATGCTTTTATGCATGTATTCTGACCTGACATTGCTGTCCTCCATGTGCATTACCCCATCAGGTCCCTCCCCCTCGTAAGACATCATACTCTCTTCCTGCTCTAGTCCAATCCGGGTGCTCTCCTGATGCCCCAGTTCAGCATCACTGTCACTGCCACTCTCTGACAGTTGGATAGCTTCAATGGAGAGTAGAGTCAATATTACACATACAGCTATAATATCCCACAAATACTCGTATATACACGAGTACACACAGACTCACAGGAGAATGGATTATCGCCTTCCTCCTCACTGGCGTCGTCTTCTGCATCTGACATCAGCAGATCCTGGTAGAGCACACTGGCCTGTGCTGGCCGGCTGGAACATTCATCATCCTCCTCCTCCTCCTCATCCCTATGTATACGCCTCTGTGGCCGCATGAGGAGCTCGTCTTCATCATCCTCCTCGTCTTCATCATCCAGATCACCCTCTTCAGCCTAGAAGTACATACAACACTCAAATCTCTGACACTGAAACATTCAGCTAAGCCATAGCCTTTTAACTTATGCTTTGAGTTAATACTGTATAATTGCTTGATGCATATTTTCATTTTGTTCACAATAATTAGTTCATTAAATCAAACAATAAGGGGAAAAAGGGGACTGAGGTTAAAGACCCCTGGATTAATTTTTGTTTTTGTTTTCACAAGATAATTACTGGAGCAGGTGTTTTAGGTTTGCCATCATCATCTTCCTCAAATCCTTCAATGTCCACATCAGACTCCTCCTCGCCCATTCGGCCTCTGCCGTGACGACCCTTAGGAACGTACACACAAAAACAAAGTTAAGAAAAGTGTAGTGGCACACAGAAGGAGAGGACCAATCAGAAAATGCATGCAGTAGAGGATGGACAAATGCAGGGATGGAGGGATTTTTCTTTCCAGTTTAGGGCTCTGAATATAATTTTTTTGCACATTACAACCTTAAAGGAACACTCCACTATTTTTGAAAATAGGCTCATTTAAAAATTCCTTGATTATTACGCCGGAATGAGAGTATAGTTTCCTAGCCATATCGGCCTAGAAAATCGCAACTTTTCATTTTCCGTCGGTCTTAGTACACGATGTAACTACAGAAGAGTCAAGTTTTAAATAGGAAAAATATAGAAACTCTTTGGTCATTTCTGAGCGAGATGCTAACGGTCTAATCAGATTCAAAGATCTATGCTAAGCTACAGCTAAAAGTGCTACCGCCAGACCCGGAGATCGGCTGAATGGATTCGAAAACGGTAAAACTCAACTGTTTAACTCTAGGGGAGTTGGAAAATGAGCCTATTTTCAAAAATAGTGGAGTGTTCCTTTAAAGCAGTTTTAGAACAAAAGAAGAGTTAATGGTTGAGACACTTAAACCACAACAGACTGGTCCCTGAAAGAAGCATTTCTGCTACATTCCTTTCAAATGTCACTATATTGTTTTGTTCTCGGCTGGTAAGAGACTCAATTTGAAGGAAACTTGACAGATTCTGAATTTAGCTCAATAAAGACCAGTTATAAAATGCATCCTAAACATCCTTTAATAACTGATGGAGATGGGTTAATCAAGCAGCACATAGAAACCATCACAGTACAGGGGTGGGTAACCCCATGGATGGATGGTGGGGTGGGAGGACATATCTAAAGGGGTAAAGCAAGCCAGCCAATAAAATGAATGATAAAATGGATGGACAGAGGAATGGATGAATGCAGAGAGGGAGAGAGGAATACCTGCCCCCCTCTTTTCTCAGGGGTGGGAGGGATTAGCGTAGCCTCAGCTAAAAGACTAGAATCTCCCTGTAAACTCACAGACACACTGTTCTCACACATATCAAGCTGAAAGAAAGAAAGGGAAGCAAAGACAAACAAAAGGATAGAAAAGATCATAAAAAAAGAGAAAGCCCCAGACACAGAAAGACAAATAGGTTGCCATAAAGGGAGGAGGAAAAGGCAGGAACAGTGAGGAAACGTGAATCAAACAGCTGTGCAGTACAGAACGTTTGGATTATGCACAAGAGAGAGAGAAATACAAGCCTTCTGTTCTATTTCTGGCAGAATGCTGACATGCTTCATTTCACCTGCTACAAAATACACTTGAGACACCTGAGATCATGCCCTCAATGTGATCTGTGTGTGTACCTGCGGCGTGTACGGTCCAGGGGTCAAGGGGTCTAAGCTCTCAAGGTCTGCAGCATCCAGAGCAGCTTCTTTAGCAGTAGAGATGTCCTTTTCCAGTTGAGTCAGGTGTTCGTCATACTAACAGACAGATACACATTAAACCTCTCAAGCACAAGTCAAACAAAGCACATGAAAATAGCAAAGCGCTCGCTCACTCACTCACACACACACACACACAGACGTACCTCTGCTAAAGTCTGCTTGCAGACATTTACGATTTCCAGAGCTGTTTTGGTATAAGGACTATCAGGCCCTAAAAAAGTAAGAATGTATACAAAAGTGAAATCACAATTTTAGTCAATATGAAACAGCATTTTCATAACTAAAACATTCATGTTTCTCACCATTGTACTTGACACTGTTGGTGTGAATGAGAGCGACATCAAAAATAAACACCTCTCGGTTCTGATACTTGTGCTTGGAGATGTTCTACACACCAAAAAGCAAACAAACAGTTAGTTCAGAGATCCTTAAATAAATCACATCTTAACTGCAGTTTCTTGCATCCACACACAGATCTTCCTGACCTTACGGAGTGTGTCCAGATCCATGGGGTTGATGATGACTTTATAATAATCAGGAACAAATTTCTTGTTAACAGGATGATGGAAGGGCCAGGACTAGAGAAAGAGAGATATTAACTAATTAAGGAAGAGCAATTCACTTCTTCTTTGCTAACTGAAAGATTAGCTGGTCCTCTCTACTTTTAGTGTTAAGGCTGTTGAGGAAGTTTTTCAATGTCATAATACATTGATAATTTAATGTAAA